CTGCTTAGAGAGGGCTGAAAGCTCTAAGAAGCGGTATATAAGTCTAACTGCTATTGCTATTGCTACCCTCCAGTCATATGAATCGGTAGTACATCCTATTTATCAGCTTTTTATTCTCCAAATTTCCTAGGACAATGCCCAATATATCATAGAGATCAGGAACCTAACAGCAAAATAAAAGTTCTGGCAGAACCAAAACCAATTAACCAAATTGGTTTCCACACACTCCCAATGCTGACTTAAGATAGTTTCATTTCTTTATTCAACAAGGGCAGGAACTAAAATCAGAGCTGCTTACAGGTTCTGCTCAACTGGAGAACCTAACAGATAATATTTGCTAAAAAGCATGATAGTTCCCTGTTATCCACTAAAGCAACTTTCTTTTCCAGACTTCCACACAAACCTAAAAACAGTTGAGTTGGATTTAAGAATTGCATTATGACAAAAGAGTTGCTTTAGGGATCACCAGATGCCACATGAAAGGGTGAAGTAATTCCCTCGACTCTCCTCTCTTTCAGAAAAGCTTTCAAAATATGGATTTTGAAACAAGCCGGAAGCCATGTCAATTTGTGATCCTGTTTGACTGATGATGAGTGGTTGAAATTTTCTTTTTTGCATATTTCCTCAGGGCATTGGTATTTCTCTTTTTGCTTTATGTTTTGATTCTGAGCTTTATTCTGTGCTCCACTTTGAGTCATCTTGATTCGGGTTGACTCAGCCTTACATCCTTCCGAGGACCCGGATTGTTGTTGGGGGCAATATGCTGACTCTGTAAACCGCTGAAAGCCCTATGAAGCGGTATATAAGTCTAACTGCTATTGCTATTGCTATTTGGTGGCTTTTTTAAATGTAATGAAGTATGCACAGATCTCCTGCTCTGCCAGCACTGATGAAATCTGTTAAGACTCTTCGTGAAATATTTCTTGTTGGACAAAACACACCAGTTTTACCTGTGCACAATGATACATATTCTTAGAAAAGATAATCTGTATATATACCTGGCATTCCATTCATCTTCATCCACAGTTTTATATGAAATGGGAGCTCATTCAAAGCAGTATTTGAAAGAGCTGCAGAGATCTAGTATCACAAGGAGTAATTAAGGGAAGGCCAGAGACACTTTTGTGAACTGGTCTCTTTGTGTGCCTCAGTAGTCGATAGTTTCTTCTGTATGTGTTCTATGACTTGTGAACTCTGCTTATACTTTCTACACCAGCAATCAACTTCTCTGGGATCATCGCTTGAGCAACCTTGAGAGTTTGATAGGATTTCTTTGACAAATAACACAAACGCCCTCTTTCTGGTACAATTGTGCCACATAAAATACATCACTTATAAGGAAAGAAACTTGTCGTGTCTGTTTAAAAAAAAAAACAATCCAACTAACAAAAAAATTCAGGTTCTTTTTGGTTAATTCAAATTCAGCTATTTTTATGCACCAGGCCAAGCAGTTCAGCATATGTAATTTATCCCCAGACATCCAGGGAAAGACACTATCTATAGATTTAATTTCTCATAAGTACTTGTGGATAAGTCCATCCATGGATAGGTGAGACAGTTTTTTATAGCGGTGAAGATGCTGGCCTAGAAACCAGGAGATTGGGAGTTCTAGTTTTGCCTTAGGCATGAAAGCTGGTTGGGTGACTTTGGGTCAGTCACACACTCTCAGCCCAACTCATCTCACAGAGGTATTGTGGGGAAATAGGAGGGAGAGGTATTAAATATGTTCATCTCTTTGAGTTCATTGTAAAATAATAAAAGCAGGATAAAAATCTAGCTAACAAGTAAATAAATAATAGACTATTGAATTTTTAACCAAAGTACCATGAAAAAATGCACCACCGCGGACAAGCCGATCCACATTTTTCATGGTATTTCGGTTAAAAATCTAACACATGGATGAGCTTGTCCATATGCATATATGGAAAATGCAGGTACTTAAATGTGTGTGTATTTTGTGGATAGGCTGAACTTGATTTTTTGGATACCTTTTGTCATTTAAAATTCTCGGCTGATCTGCAAATATATACAGTATGTTCCGCTTTCTGTAATGGATAACTAACATATCCGTTACCTTCTTCGAGGAGACTGTGGAGGAACAACAGTCACCACCATCATACTGACAATAGGCTCGGTTGTTGATGGTATCACACCAGCCATCGGCATGGAAAGGCTATAAAGAAAGAGAAAAGAAACCTTTGGTGAATGAAGAGCAACAGAAAATCAATTAAGTGTTATTGAAACAGATTTTTTTGTAAAATGAGCTAAGAGAAACAGACCATCAAAACAGCTTTACTGATTCAATGACAAGAATCACTAAATATTTAGACATGCTACTGATCTAGCTATCGTGGCTGAAAATGTAGATACATACGACATGACTAATTGAGTTCAAGAAATGGTTCTGCAACCACAAAATGATATGCATTCAGGACTATCCATTCAGAAGAAGTCAATTTAAATTAAGTGAAATCAGGTTTGAGTTATTTGACGTTAATGAGAGAGTGATAATTTCCTAACATTCATAGATTACCATCTTTAAATGTGATTTGTCAAACCAAAATACTGGGTATCTCGAACATGAATGAAGCAACAAATCAGCGTAAATGCTTGAATGAGCTGGTACCACTTCACCACGTAATTCTTATTGGTAATGCTATATTGTAAATAAAAAAAGCTTGCTGTTATGTAATCAAGGAGGGATGTTTTATTACATTGTGCCTATTTAAGATACATGGTTAATGAGGAAGATATGGCAACATCACCTCTCTACTGTATTGCTAGAGAACCGTGACCCATCAAATGCGCGCCTGACAAAAGTGCGCCGACAAAACCGCGGTGAGAAAACCGTGAGGTTGAAAGCGCTCCCACAAAAGAGCGCCGACAAAACCGGGCCCACAAAAGCATGATTAGGGTTAAGGTGAGGGTTAGGTTTAGGGATAGGTTTAGGGTTAGGGTTAGGGTTGTTACGTTGTTTTCGTTGCTTTTTTAATGGTGCACATTTGTCGGCGCGCTTCTGCGTGCATTCGTCGGCGCAATTTCGACCTTACGGTTTTCTTGGCACGCTTTTGCCGAGCGCGCATTTGTCGGTGAACCCTAGAGAACAGCAGGTAAGAAAGAAAACCACTACAACTAAGGAGATAACTTGACTCTTCCCACACTTTTTTTGCTGTATTCCACACAATAAGGTTTGTTTACCTAGATAATTATTCATTTACAAAGCCAGAAAATCATGACAACTAGAACATAGAATAATAGACTTGGAAGGGCCTTGGAAGTCTTCTAGTCCAACCCCCTACTCAAGCAGGAGACCCTAGACCATTTCAGGCAAATGGTTGTTCAGTCTTGTTTTTTTTTTTGAAAGCCTCCAATGATGGAACACCCACAACTTCTGAAGGCAAACTATTTCATTGGTTGATTGCTCTCACCATTAGGAAATTTCTCCTTAGTTCTAAGTTGCTTCTCGGTTAGTTTCCATCCATTGTTTCTTATCTTGCCTTTTGGTGCTTTGGAAAATAGTTTGATTCCCTCATCTTTGAAGGAGCCCCTCAAATATTGGAACAGTATTATCTGGAAATAATCTGTTAGGTTTTGGAACAGTGCTACCACGTGCCATCTGGTCCTTCTTTTCATTAGAATAGATATACCCAATGCCTGTAATTGTTCTTTGTATGTTTTAGCCTCCAGCCCCCTAATCATTTTTGTTGCTCTTCCCGGAACTTTTTACAGAGTTTCAACATTTTTTTTGTACTGTGGTGACCAGAACTACATGCAGTATTCCAAGTGTAGTCTTACTAAGGCTTTGTAAAGTAGTACTAGAAATTCATGTGATCTTGATTCTATCCCTCTATTAATGCGCCCTAGGACTGCATTGAATCTTTTGGTGGCTGCTTCACACTGTTGGTTCATATTCAAGTGATTGTCCACCAGGACTCCAAGAACCCTCTCACAATTACTGGCATTAAACCAAGTTTCATCTAGTCTGTAGTAGTAGTTGTTGTTGTTGTAGTTCATGAATACAACTATTCATCTCCTATAGTAGTGAATGCTTGTTTAAAATGACTGCCAGATCAACATCTAAAGAGAGGAAATGATGGGATGAAGAAAATATAAATTGTCTTCACAGTATATGACTCTTAACTGCTCTTGTCCCAATCATTTCAAATGGCCAAAATATATATTCATACTGAGATCAATTTGGGCATCTATGACAATTATTGGCAACCATGACATTCATATTAAAAAAAATTTATGAGCGGAAAAATGGAAATTAAAAATAATGAGAGAAAAAATTAAAGGACAGAAACAATAAAGTAGGACATAAAATATGTTGGAAATCATAGGCTCTTAAATACGACTAAGTAATACGAATTATATGGAGGGTGGAACACTTGGAATGGTAAGGAACCAGGAATCAGGTCCTTTACATTCTGGCATGCTTGGAATTTCAGTTAGATTTTCCATTACTTAACCTAAAATAAGTCAGAATGGACTCTAAATTATAATTAATATAATTGGAATGCTATAATAAAATAGCGACTCTAAGGGCTAATATACAGTATACATTAAGTGATGCCATTATTTTGCTTTTGGAAATCGGGGTTCTAGATGAACAACATATGGAAAAGAGCAAAACATTCCAGGAGAATAATTGTTAGCATTTTACAAAGCAGTAATCAGGGACGTGCAGTCACTAGAGGCAGGGGAGGCGTGGCCTCACCAGTCATGAGGAAAAGGAAAGAATTTTAAAGATTTTTTTTAAAATAATTGAAGCCAAGGTAGTTGTTACCAGATTCTAAGTCACAGTGACTTGGAACAGTGCTTAGTGTTAACTATAGGAGGAGGCCAGAGAACTAGGGGCCTCTTTTGCATAAGGAATTTTTCACCTTTTAAGAGTTAACCAGGGTTAAAAAGCGAAAAATTCCTTATGCAAATGAGGCACGTGTTCTCTCGCCTCCTGTAGAGGGCATTTTTAGAGGCTTTTTAGAGTTCTCTGGGAGCAACTAGCTCAGTCTGACTCAGAGCTCTGGCCTTTCATGAGAGCAGAGTTGAAATCCTCTCTGAAACAGCTGGAAAAGGTGCGTGTGTGGGGAGGGGGGAGGAATTCAAAAAGTTTGATTGCATGAAGAACCCACGTTGCCTTTTCAAACACACACACACACACACACACACAAACACACACACAGAGCTGGACAAAAGTATATAAGCCCAGCTTCACTGATTACAAGTTTGAAAAGGAAACGTGATTCACCTGCAATCAAAGGCTCCGATCGGAAGGCAGCAGGGGAAGGGGGGGTATGGCAGAGGAGCTGCTTTCAAGCCTTTGGAAAATATATCCAATCCAACTTCTGTGTTTGTGTTTGAGAGTGAGTGAATGAGATAGGGATCCAAGTTCTCTGTCTGTTTGAGAGAGGGGGGAGGGAGGGAGAGAGGGAGGAAGGAGGGGGAGGGAGAAGAAAAAGAATGGGAAAACTTATTTTGCAAGGGGGGGAAATGCTGTCGCTTTAAATCGGAACTGAGCATGCCTGGCTGTGGAATTCTGGGAGTTGAAGTCCACAAGTCTAAAAAGCTGCCTCACCAGCCATAAAACTCACCACACGTCACTGGCAGTAATGCTTGACTACAGCTGTCTCATATTTCTGAATTACTTTTCTCTTCTTTTTGTCTAGGTAGTCTTTGATTTACAATCACAATTGAGCCCAAACCTTTTGTGGCTACTTGAGACATTTGTTAAGTGAGTTTTGCTCACTGTTTTATGACATTTCTTGCCACAGTTGCTAAGTGAATTATTACAATTGTTAAGTTAGTAACACGGTTGTAGAAGTGAATCTGGCTTCCCCGTTGACTTTGCTTGTCAGAAGGTTGCAAAAGGGAATCACATGACCCTGGGACACTGCAGCCGTCATAAATATGAGTCAGTTGCCAAGCGTCTTAATTTTGATCACGTGATCATAGGGATCAGTGGTGGGATTCAAATAATTTAACAACCGGTTCTCTGCCCTAATGACCATCTGGGTAGGTGGGGCTCGGTGGTCATGTGACTGGGTGGGCGTGGCCATCTCAAGGTTACTCAGGTCGATGGACGCTTCACCTTAGCTGTTCCAATGTAATAAGGGTTAACCGGAGAGGCAGTTTCTGTAAGCAGGGCAATAAAGATTAGGCTAGAAACAACACTAGAATGTTTCCTTCCTGCCTTCCTTACAGGATTAGCCCTGTAAAGTGGAAACAAACAAAAGGAGATTTCTTCCAACAATCAGTTCTCTGAACTACCTAGACAGTTACCAACTGGTTCTCCCGAATAGGTGCGAACCGGCTGAATCCCACTACTGATAGGGATGCTGCAATAGTTGTAAGTGTGACAAAGTCACAAGTCACTTTCTTCAGTGCCGTCGTAACTGCAATCAGGCACTAAATGAAGAGTACCTGTACTCACCAAATGCGCATGCAAATACTTTCAAGGTCATTTCGAATGATAAATTTTGCTGCAGTGTGTGAGAATTTGTTTCTCAGTGCAAATAAGCAGGTATTGCAAATTACTTCCAATAAACAGTTACCTTTTGCCCAGTTGTTTCTTTTCCCTGACTTAGGAACTACAACCCATTTTCTTTCAGTTAGAGAGTTTCGATTCAGCTTTACAGAATAAAAGAGATGAAAGGAGGATCCTGAATTGTTGTTCAAGCAGGAAATCATTCCCAGACTTCCACAGTTTGATTTCCATCCCCCGGATAAGCGTAAGAAATTTCCATCAAAGCCTAGAAAGCATTTTTCTTTGTTTCCCAATTAAAGTCCAAATAAATAAATAGCTCCTCCCATACATCAATGCCAACAAAACAACATTTTTGCAAAAATATAAACAAAACCCCATTTCTTTTCCAGGTTTTTAATGCCCCACAAATGATTTATATAATGTTTGTAAACAAGAAAACTCTAACTTTTATGGACTTATTTGGAAGGCAAGGTTAATTTCCAATATGAAGGGATTAAATGAACCATGAAATTTCTATGGTCTCATTACTACAACCTTAAAATTATTATTGGGGTAATAAGCTGTAACCAAAAACCTTACGTGCATTTCAGTAATGCCATGTAGTTTTGGAATTGATACAGATCTAGTCTGATTTATTTTAATTTAGCAAATGCCCAATATAATTAACTGAATAAGCATAAGTTTCA